TTGTCAGACAGTTTTCTAGCAACCCTTAAAGGCAATGGGATGAAATCCTTCACACTTATAAAATGTTACAAATTACTGCTGTCATGTGGACAGTAAGGTTAATTCTATACCATTAGCTTCCAATGTAAAGTTGCCAAGAGGTTAATAGCTGTTCAGTTTTTTGTTTCAGCACTATAGCTTTTGATAGCTTTGTTGCCACTGTCTGTTGCAGTTCTCCCCAACCTGGTTGCCTCCAGCTGCATGAGAAATCATTTTCCAGAATTCCCAAACAATACTGTATTCAGTATAGTTTTTCCAGCTTTTCCAAGAGATTTAAGAATTCTTGTCCCAAAATATTTGGAGGGCACCAGATTGGGAAAGCTTTGAATAAACTGTGCATTAAGATAGCATATCAGCATGGGGAATCTGTGGGCCTCCAGATGGTGTTGATTGATATGTCATTACCCATCATGTTGGCAATACTGCCTAGGGTTGATAGAGATTGAAGTCCAAAATTTCTACAGGGTCAAAGTTCTTCCCCCTTCGTTTATAATATTCCTCAAGGCTCTCTTTTCTGTTCTGCAGCTTAAATCAGCTATCTCGGAACTGAATTTTGGACTGATGTTCTATGAGAACTTTAACAGTTTGAGAGTTTGTGTGAAGAGTGAAATGTTCCCTTTTTGGAACTCATTCAAAGTGCTGAGCAAAGGCTGAACATCTGCTTTGAATTATACTTGTGTAATTCCGAGGCAGCATAGGTGAGTTTTGATCTTAGCACATCTGGAGGTGGCCAGGTTGGGATACTAGCATGCGGTATACTGATTCTTGATATGAATCCTGGAAATGTTAATTCCATGGGCCTCTAGAATTTTTGTGGAATGCTGCTCCTGATGCAACCCTGGGAAATTCAAGCAGTGCTTCCTTATTTGTATGCAACAATAAATGTATTACCATAGTTGATGGCTAAGTGAATATTTTGATGAAGAATATTCTGTCAGCATAAAAAGTGTATTGCTTTACCGAGAAGGAAGTATGAATTCTGTGCTGATCTTCATGGGAATATTTTGTTCCAAGTAGGGCTTATGACTCCCATTCAGGGCTCATCTTGGCATGTTTCTCAGTCACGTCTCTGTTTCTTTTTCACTCATTACGCAAGAATACTGGGCAGCAGGGAGAGGCAGTTTGATGCCTCAGTTGCAGAAATTTTTGGAGAGGGAAAGCATCAGTGGGAATGCTGCTTCCTATTCATTTTCTTTTCCAAGCATAAATGAGAGTCTGTCAGGACTTTTTGGCAGAGGACTTATGCAGCGGAAGAATGATGGAGGTAAAGATGAAAGCTGATGATAACTATGTGTTCTTCTAGAATTCTTGCTAGATGGAATTTTCTAACTATTGTGTAAAAGAAGTAGAGTTGATACTTGATCAAATTTCAAGCATTACCTTTTGAGAACAGTGCAGACGCCTTAGTGCCCAGATGCTTTCTGATGTGCCATGCCAGATCAGCACTTAGAGGACTCCATTTCCTTCTCTTATCTACAGCAAAGGTGAAGGATTAGCAGTATCTTCAGCATTTATCATGTGCTGCTCTGTGGGTTGCTTGCCTAGGAGCTTCTTTTTTCAGAGACCCATGATGTTGCAACACATTCCAAGCAGGAGAGACTAAAGCAGAGGCTTAATCTGGGAGAGGATTTAGAAAGCAGGAGATGCCTTATTTAGAATGAGGTATGTTCCTGTAACTTTGTCCACTGCTAAGCTTTTTCAGCTGCGGTGGCCTCATTCCTGACATAGCTATCGGCTGATTACATAGCTGTTACCATTTCCATTTCTGCAAGCTGAACATGTGGATTGAGTCATCTGTCTCTTTCCAGTTTGGGAGCCAACCTTTCCCAACCAAGTTCTGCCAGGATATGTTGGACTACAGCTCCCGTGGTCCCCACCTTTATTTTCCTTTCTTCCTCTAGAGATTGACTGTAGCCTTGTCATACTTCTGGAATGTTTTCTAACTTAGCACTTAAACATTTCCACCAGTGTTTGCAGGCAACAGGAATCCAGGACCCCCTACATCAGGTGGAGTTCTCAGGGCTAATTGGTGAGAGTAAGTATATATGGCTTTGCCTAAGGGTTTCCATACTCTGACCTAGCCAAATTGTGCCATAATTGCATTCTGGCATCCTGGGTACAGTTGGCTCCTGTTTGTTTAAGTTTGCTAACATCTGATTGCAGGATTTCATAGCTGCGTGTAGTGCTCTATGGAAAGCTTATTAGAGTGGACCCCAGGGTTTTTTAAATCTCTTTCCATTTTTATACCACCTGTCTACATACAAGGCACCGACAAATAATGACATGTGAAACCATAATTATAAACCTAACAATAAAAGCAGCATTCAACATTACAGGCATGAAAAAAATCTGCTCTAATAAAGCCTTTATTGCAACCAGTGTCGTATGTCTTCTTTTTCAAGCATGTTTACCTCTTTCCCTTGAGCCTTGATCCCTGTTTCAGAGCACGTTTTAGACTTCATTTCCCACCTTTACTTAGTGCACACACAACAATTCCATGCTTTGTCCTTCAGAATCATTTTAGATTGGGAGAAAAGTATTCAGACATCTTACTTGTCTAATATAATTCTGCAAGAAAATTATTTTATATGTATTTGAATTCATGCATCCTTCTATTTTGATGAGGATTGGAGGGCTGATAAAAGTTTGTGTTCACAAGGACTGCTTTAGATGCAGCGGCCCCCTTAAATGGGGGGAAGGTCGACCATGTCCTGCTGGGCCTTATGAAGAAAACAGGGCAACTTGTGTAATCCCTTTCTGCAGAGAGCTAAGGAAGATGCTGTGCATTGCTAAAAGTAACCTGTTATCTCTTTGACTGTTGCCCTGATCTGCAGTGTTGCTAACTGGGAACAGTCATTGCTCCTAGAGCTCATCATCTCTCCTTTGTCCCGGTTAAGTAGCCTAACTAGAAGAGAAAATTTTACTTAAAAACCTTGTTTTAATTTTCACATTTCTGAAAATGAAATAGGAATCTAGTGCCTTCCTTGGTAATCACTATATTAGGGCCAAACTAGATGGAAAATTAGTTGTGTGAAGGCAGGAAGTTACGTCTTCTCTCAATGAACCTTGAAAATCCACCCACTGCTATGAAAACACAGTGAAAATCCACCCACTGCTTTGGATCTGCCAGCCTACAGGGAAGTTCCCACTAGCACCAGTAGTAGCTTCATTCTTGTGACAAATTGTACTTCCAGGAGAAATAAGTTTCCCAAGGACTAGAGCATTTAATATATTTTATTTTAAAACTAATGTTTTTGCTGCCCAACCTCATTGGTTCTACTCAGTTTTCAAATTATTAACAATAAAATAATTTAACTACCTCCCAAATTTTGCAATGGGAAGAGCACTGATGGCTATTTATAGCTTTTGAAGCAAGCATGTTATGGCCACATTATGATCACCTGTAATTTGGACTTTAGACACTCCCCCTCCCCCCAAAAAATTATAAAAGTGTCTTATAGAAACTGAAACAAGAAAGAGATTCCTTTCCAGACTTTACTTAAGCTTTCTTTTGTGACCCTTTTTTTCCTGCTAGGGAAGTTTAATAACTCCCATTATGACTCAAGTCATCTGCTTAAACCCTTTTATCATTCTGGCTGTTATTCTCAGATATAAGATGTGACAAATTGTCCTTAAAAGCAAAGAGGAACATTACTATTAGAGTACTTGGCCTAGACCTCAGAGTAAATAAGCTTATTTCTACCAGCTGCTTGGGGATCTCATGAGCTCCAACCTCAGATCATTGGGACTGCTAATGCTGACTGGGGAATTCTGGGAATTGAAGTCCTCATATCTGCACGTTGCCAAGGTTGCAAAACACTGCTATAGAGTTCAGAAATGAACACAGTGCTGCTTTGTTCTTGAAAGTGTTTGCTAACTCACATTGGGAAGAGGCACTGTATAGTGTGTACAGACACACTAAGGGCAGGATGAGTGCTTTCAAAAGTTTTTAAGATAAATGTTGGGATAAACCTAGCAGTTGTTAGTCGTCTTGTTTGGATACTGGGGGATCAGATTCAATTAAAATCACATTTCAGTACCTCCAAATAGCACAGTGAGTTACTATTTCCTGTAAGCTCAGTTTCTCAACAAACCACACCTTTTAGTCAGGCCTAAATTATTTATTCATTATCTGATTTAATGAATCTTTTTTTAATTGTTGCATTGTTTGGCAGCAGTCTGTCATTCCTAGCAAGCTCAAACTAGTTACTCATTGCCTGTGAAGGAAGTATGAGCCATATAAAATATTTCTTAGGACTTGAATAGGTCCAAAACAAATTCTGCATCAAGGATCCCAGCTCAGAGGAAACTTTAATTTATAGTGTACTGTAAGGGGTGTGAAAAGTAAGCATGTATGTATGATGCATTTTGGAAATGCTTATATGTACTTATGAATGCTTATTGGCTATGAAGATGGGAAATCTTCCAAAAGCATAGTTGTATTTTGTGTGCAACTTGCCGTATTAGAGGCTGTGGTGTTTTCTTAATTGACTGGATTTGGACTTTGAAGAGGCGAATGGTTTGTTATGATGAAAATGTAAAGTCTCCTTTGATTCAAGCTTGATTGCTGGAGACTTTATAGACATGTCATGTAATTTTCTTGACAACAGTATAGAAGGGGCTTGCCATTGTCATCTTCTAGGATGTTGTTTCAGCTTCCCACTCTAGCCTGTTATCCTGGTAGTCCTTGGTGGTCTCCCCTACAACTACTAATGAGGCCCATCCCTGCTTCACTTCTAAGCCTATACAGTGCTATATACAGTTGTCCAGGTGCTGTGACCTGCCTAGATGGTTTATTATGAAGTTATGTCAGAAAAGCATCACCATTACTGGCTGTTACGTATCTGTCAAGATGGTGCCCATGTTTTATTGATATTCTTTAAAAACCACTGTATTGCTCTAAATGTCTAATAATTCATTTTTCTTTTCTCTCTGTTCCTCCCTCCCTTTGTCTCTTAAAGTTGCAGGAGTCATTACTGCTGACTTCCTATCCGGTCTAGTGCACTGGGGAGCAGATACCTGGGGATCTGTAGACCTGGCAGTAGTTGGAAAGGTCTGACTTTTTTCTTTCTTTTTTTTTTTTTGTTTTTGTTTTTGCTTGCAGGGGTGGAATTCTGCATGATTTGAGTGAGCTGTTAAGATTTTTGCTTTCCTTATACCTGGAGCTTATTAGTTTAGTACACCTAAGCCAGACAATATTTGATGAAAAATCTCTAGTGGGGTTCACATACTGTGCTAAACCGTACTGTGCCTTAGTCTAGTTAAACTGTGCTAAACTATAATGTGGCATAAACGATAGTTTGTGACATAGCAGTTTATAGTGAAACTAGTTAATTGCATTTATTGAGTTAACCAAAGTTAAGCAAACCATGGTCTTAGATTAATGATGATTTATAACTAACATCTTGTTCAAATGTCACAGAACTTGGGTACCGTAAGTCGAGGATGGAAATGCAAGTACAAAGGGAAGAAAAGAAAGCGTGCTAGCCTCCAACACCATTCACTAACCCTTCATTAATGTTTCATTGTGATATCTGAAGGAATCTATCATTAATAAAACAAGTTGCTTTTTAGATATTTTAAAATAAGACAAAATTAAATTGTCACTTTTGGGCTGTTTTCACATAACACACTCAGACATAGTTAGCATAACTAGTTTAGTGAATAAATAATAATTGAGTTGACACAACAAAACTACAATGCTTGGGTTTGCATAATACACTAAGCCACAAACTAACAAACCATACTTTGCCTTAGTAAGTTGTATGAGCCCAAACTATGCTAGTTTATATTGAAACATCTTATTTAAATGTAGTCAACAGGAAAGTGTTTAGCCTTCCTACAGTTTATGAATTCAGAATAATTCCAAAATAAAAACAAAGACTTCAAATAAATTGCACATCTTGTGTGTCTTTCCCAGTCTGCTAACCAGTTTCTGATATTACATGCTTTAACCTTAATGCTGGCTAATGTCAGTGCCTTATTTGCTGATCATTTTTTTCCTCTTTCCCCGCCTCTTTTTCCAACCTTAATAACCTTGGTACAATATAGTTAGAGTAAAGCCCACATACACTATTGACCTAACATTCTAGATGGATAAATAGGAAGGATCAAAGAGCTCTCTCTAGGATATGCTTTATGGCTGGCTTTTGATATTCCATGTATTTGTTTTCATGGTAATCACACTGGTTCAATAGAGATATTACAGATTCAGGCTAATAATGTAGTAAGGTGATAGGAAATACAGAGTGATTTCACATATTCAAATCTCAGTGCTGCGATTCATTTACTATGTTGCTTTAGATAACTTTGTAATACATGATGGCCTGTCCGTCTACGGCAAAAGTCCTGACAGGACAAGATGGTGGTTCTCCTTTGAACCACAAAGCAGGTGCATCCGGCTGGGGCCAAGATGGCAGTTATGATCAACCCCTCTTGTCCATACATTGTTGTTACATACACAGACAAAAAGGCAGGGCTTTAATCACCCCCGCCATCTTGACTTTTTGGACACTCCCCTGCAGATGCCCACCCAAATTACCTACTTAGGTATGTACATAAGCAGATTAGTAAAATCTGTAGATGCTAAGACCTCATCTGGGCTAAAAACTATAATTTCATCTTTCTGCTTTCTTACCACTTTCAGGCATTTATCAGACCTTTCAGAGAACATCATATTGATCCAACAGCAATTACCAGGCATGACTTCATAGAAACCAATGGTGATAACTGCATGTTGACGGTAGTTCCACTGGCAAACATGGCCTACAAATTGGTTTCTTTATCACCAGGTAAGTGGGTACGAACAAATCCATGAGGAAGCTGGACTCACAGTTTCCCACAGAATAGTGACCAGGCCTTTGAAGATAATAGAGTTAAGCTAATTCTGTGAACATTTCCAAAAAATGTTAATGAAACCTTTCACCTTGTATATGGAACAAAAATTGTAAGGGCAAGCAAACAGCGGATGAAGTTGACCAAAGGAGCAGAGTAATGCAAGAACTATGTCAGTTTCAAATGGGTACACCTTTTAAAAAAATAAACTCTGCAATGTACTGTATGATTACGTGCCATCAAGTTGGTGTTGACTCTTAGTGACCACATAGAGTTAGGGTTAGGTAATCCTAACCCCTAACCAGTTTTATATAATATGCTCTAAAGGAAGAATCCTCAGTAAATGTATCTTTATATAATATCACACTCTAAAGCAGTGTAATTTCAGATTTGGCCACTTTATGATGTGTGGGCTTCCAGATGGCTGTGGAATTCTGGGAGTTGAAGTCCACACATCTTAAAAGTGGCCAAGGTTGAGAAACACTCTTCTAAAGGAAGATTCCCAGTAAGTGCATCTTTGATTAAAGGATCAAAGTCCAGGGGGCTCAGAAAAGTAAGTCAAATCACATACTAAAGGGAGAGCTAAAAGCTTCTTGAGTTTCTGCTAAGCTTAACTGTCACCAGTGTTCTTTCCTGAACTAAAATATTGTGATAATTTTGACTTTGTATGTAAAACCAATCCTACAGAAAGTTGGCTTGATGACTGAAATAATGACGTTCTCAGCATCAATTATTTGCTAATGCAAAATGTAATGATATGCTTAAATCTCCTTAAAAGGATATAATAATTGATGGATCATAAAGCTGTCTACAGATGATAGTCACAGTGGTTATTTATCTCTAGTATTGGGCCTAGGATCTCTCTGAGTACCAGATCCCTGAGCACTTCGGATGCTGGGCCAGATGGTTGGGCTTTTGCCCTGATCCACCACAAGTCTATATGTCCATTTGTCATAACAAATTGGAGTACAATGGTACTTATGATGCAAAAGCTCTTTATTACAGTGAACTGTATTAAGCAACTGTATTGTTGCAAATAACACAGTTTAGCTCTTGTTCAGCAAGAGTAAAATAAATGCTATTTTCTCTTATTTTAGAAGTGTTACACCAAACATGCCCTTGGGAGTGCTACGTCTTTGCCCTGTCCGTATTTGCAACCTTGACCAACCAGATTCACAAGTGGTCTCATACCTACTTTGGTCTTCCTCGCTGGGTAATTTTTCTGCAGGACTGGCACATTATCCTACCACGGAAACACCACCGGATCCACCACGTGTCTCCACATGAGACATATTTCTGTATTACTACAGGTAAAATAAAGTGAAACCCATTATATGGCAGAAATTAAATTCCTTGTTTAGCTAAGTAGCCACCTTGCCTTAACACACAGATGAACCAGTAGATCTAGATGAAATACAGTACTGTGCAAAAGTTTTAGGCAGGTGTGAAAAAATGCTGTAAA